TTTTCTATGTGGCTTCTCTCTTCTGATGGGACTCTGAATAAATTAGCTTTCTATCCCTCATCTGAGGGAGATAAACAATACCCATATAAATTATTTAAAATTTGTACAAACGCAGTCCATAATTAAGGGCCACAACTAGAAAGGCAGACCGTGTATCAGAAAGCTTCAAGACAGGAAGAGCTAAACATGCACTGGGGGCTGAAGAAGGTCAATGGGCCAGAATTGGCAAGGGGTTGGGAGGAGGGGAGGCTTTCTTACAGAGGCATGAGCCTTCTTCTTCTGGAGAAGAAAACTGGCATGGTATGGGGAGAAAATAGTGAGAGCTCTGTCAGATTGGAGAAGGTACCTGGTGAGAAGTTGTAGGAGGTAAATTGGCAAAGGTACTTGGGGGCAAGTTCATGGAAGGTTGTCAGTACCAGAGAAGTGGACTTTTCTCTCTCAGTTTAAAACTCTTTAAAAAAAAATTTTTTTTTAACATTTTATTTATTTTTGAGAGACAGAGACAGAGCGTGAGCAGGGGGAGGGGCAGAGAGAGAGAGAGGGAGATAGAGAATCTGAAGCAGGATCCAGGCTCTGAGCTGTCAGCACAGAGCCCGACGCAGGGCTCAAACTCATGAACTGCGAGGTCATGACCCGAGCCGAAGTCAGATTCTCAACTGACAGAGCCACCCAGGCGCGCCTCTCTCAGTTTAATTAATAGGGCACATTCACTGGATTTTGAATAAGAATTGACTTAATAAAATATTATGTTAGTCTACTAAAGGATATAATGGAGTTCTGGATGAAGTATGGAAACCTATTTATCATTTATTATTTTTTTCAGTTAATCCTATTCCTGGACGTGTATCTCAAAGATAAAATTTCATTAATATATAAAATTCATGGCGCATTATTTATTCATCTAGATATTAGACTATGGCATTTAGGAAAATGGGACTTTTTTTTGGTTATTCTTTTAAGTAAAGACTGCATTTAGTGTAAGTACTCACTGCCCTCCTTTAATGAATTGAGGTAAGAAGTTTCTGATATTTGTATTGTGTTTTCTTGAAAGCCAAGGTGCTGTTAATCTGTAGGATGCAAATAGGATTTGTTTTTGAAAGGCAAATACCTATGTTTGTTTCCTAAATATTTCTCATTGTTTATTTGATGTTACTTAGGTAAGATAGTATTCACATAGTCTTTCTTTTTGTAAAGTACAAGTCTAATGCAGGTTCATTATAGAACATTCAGTGAATGTACATAAAAACAAGAAAACAGAAGACATTTATAGCTCCCCTTGATAATATAGTTAACTACTTGCTATATTTTCTTTTGTTCCAGTCATATGTGCAAGTTTATGTGTACATATAAATGAACACATACACATACACAATTGTATTTATTTTACATATATATATTTTAAATGATTATAATGTTTTATAATTGCCTATTTTACTTAGCATATTGTGAACATCTTCCATCAAGTGCTTTTAGTAATTTGTTTTTAATTACTGCATAATTATGCATCAAACTGATTTACCATAATTGTACAAATTGCCTGTTATTGGATGTTTAAAATACTTTTGTTTTCTCTATTGTATTTATTTTAAGTTTTTAAAGATTTTTTCAAGTAATGTCCACACCCAACGGGCGTCAAGAGTCGTGTGCTCTATTGACTGAGCCAGTGAGGTGCCCCTGTTTTTCTCTTTTTTAAATAATATAATGATGAGATGGATATTTTTTTTTAAAACTATATTTTTGTACCTAAACAAATTGTTTATCTAATTTACATTCTTCTGTTTGTCATCACCAGCAGAGGGGACCTATTGCTTTTAAGGTTTTTGATTCTCATTGTCAAAACGCTCTCCAAAAAAGTTACACATAAAAAAAATATTATTATAAGCTTAGTTTTTCTTTTATGTCTTAAATGATATATTTGAGAATTCCGTTGCTCAAGAGAAAGTAAGGAATATTTGTAAGGCCACGTTAAAGAAATTACATCAATTAAAATTTAGTACATAATATATGTATGACACAGATGTTTCATTATTAAGTCTGGAGATAGTTAAATCACAACTAAATAGAACTGAATGCTTATTAGAAACCTGAGGGATTAGTTAGCTGGTGACAGAACTATAGTAAATAAGCTTAAATTAGAACATAAAGAATGAGGAAAATGCATGTTATAGAATATTCTGAAGCTAAGTATTGCAGCCAGTTATTCTGGGAGACTGTAGAAGTATTTTCAGGAGTTGATAAGAATAGCATTGTGCTCTATATGTTTGGGATGATGGAAGTAACTCTTATGTCAAATAGGCAGTTACCTCCATGGTACCTGCTGGGTAAATTGCCACTGTATGAAATCACTTGGCAGAAGTATTTGATTGGCTTTTTGGTGTTATTGCTTGCTTCTTCCTTTCTGGAACTGTGCAATAAATGCATATTATTTCATAACACTCGGAAAATGTAGCAGTAGTCAGGTAGCATTGTAAGAAGCCCATTTAGCAAGAACAGTCTATGGAAATGAAATATCAGCACTGAAAAAAAAAATTAACTTGTCTTGAAATGCTTGAATAGTTTGAACAAACTTTTATTTTGTGACTTTTGTCTTTTCTAATGATCAATTGGTAATTCCTATAAATTAATATACTGTGCTCATCCCATTTCCTTAATAAGAACATTATCATAGCTTAAAAGTGCAGCTGGGTAAAAATTGCTAAATGGTCTTAATGGTAAATATCACACTATGTAATTAAGATGTATGACAAAGCATATTTTATGCCAAAGCTTATTTTATAATGGAAGGAAATAATGATTTGAAAGCCTGTAAGTCATTTAGAGAGTGCTACTTTGAAACTGACAATCAGGGGTGCCTGGGTGGCTCAGTCGGTTAAGCGTCCAACTTGGGTCCAGGTCATGATCTCACGGTTGGTGAGTTCGAGCCCCGCATCAAGCTTTGTGCTGACAGCTTGGAGCCTGGAGCCTGCTTCGGATTCTGTCTCTCCCTTTCTCTCTATCTGCACCTCCCCAGCTCATGCTTGTACTCTGTCTCTGTCAAAAATAAATAAACTTAAAAAAGATTTTTTTAAATAAAAGAAGAAATTGACAATCAGGAAGCATAATTGATGAAGACTTGTAAAAATAATTTAAATCTACTACTGCCATCATATGTCACTGGGGACAAAAAAAATCAAAACTGATCTAGCATTGGAGAAGTAGGTCACATGTTTGTGAAGAAGCTGAAGCCCCAAAACATTAAATAACTTATCTAAGATCTCATGCCTGGTTTTAGTTAAAAGTGATTAGTAGTCTGCTCTGCTTATGGTGAATCTGAAAGACATCTTGGCAGATCAGGCATGGACCTCAGAATGTAAGTATAACCAAGAATAGAAACATCCTGCTTATATAAATTGGGTTGGGATCCAGGATATCCTGTTCAAAAAAAAAAAAAGGACATAATTTCTCCAAAAATATACATGACCAATTTATTCTGTTAATGTGCATGCAATCTGTGAGAATCAGGAAGAAAAATTAAAAGGATTTCCAGGTTATGAAAGAAAATGAAAACTGACAAAGATGTAGTGGAAGTAATGTCAGTTACTGTCACTAGCATAAGCTTATTCCGTACTTTGCCTGATAACTGATAGTGTCATCATGTGAAATCTTTACAAGAGTTCTGAACTCTAGAATGGCAATTGGTCAGATTTGAAATTCTGGTTTCTTGGGTAGTAAAAAGTCCTCTTACCTACCATGATTTGAACTTGCTTTTGGAGTTAATTGAACTAGTTAGACTGGTAGTCAATGAGTATTTGGTGTGTTATGTAAAAATGACTGTATTTTAGGAGAGGAAACAGGGTTGATTGGTCAGGAAGAAAGGTCCAAGTGTCATCCTTTTAATACTGGATTCTGTAACACTACACCTAATATGTTCTGGTTAAAATGAAATCCTAGGGGAAAAATTATAATAACATTTGTGTTCTACCTGAAGTGTGACAAATAGGTATATTTCCATTTTGGTGATAGGTATAATTGTTAAAATCCACAGTGACATGAAAATAAAAACTGGTGGTTTTTCTGCAGAGGTCCTTGGACTACTAGTAGCAGTAGCTGATGTATAAGACCCATTTTTGTACTTAGTGCTAAGACTGTTTTTGAGGGGGGAACTGTGATGTTGGGGCTCCTTATGCCCTGTACCTCCCTGCTACAGACAACCAATAAACATTTATTAAATTAAAGGTAATGGATTTAGACTAGTATTTTCAAGCCAGGTTTCTTTCTGCTCTAGGGAGCATATGCAGGGACTGTGGCAGAATTGGGGCCAAGAGCAATGGTGATTAGCTGAACGCTTGGTGGGCAAGGCTCCAAGTAGGCAAATCCACTATGTGTCGGATTCTCAGATCTAAACATTTGACATTTTCAACTTCTGTCCTCAGATTTACACTGCAAAGTATCCTTATTCCCTTAGTACGTTGCAAAAACCTCACTTTTATAAACGATGATCTGGGAATCTGCAATCAGAAATGATTTTGTCTGCACTCTAAGTTAACCCATCTCTTTGCAATGGTATTATGATAGGGAGAAGGAAGCCTGTACCCCCTATGTAAACCAGGCCAGTAAGGTATTCCTCTTGTTCGTTTGCTTGTTTAGTCATAAAAGATCCTTTTTAGTAAGACTAGAGACTTTTACGGTGGGATCTGGATTTGAATCAGGCTCTACCTAGTCTATTTGACTTTGAATAAGCTACTAAATGTACCTCAGTTTAGTAATTTATGAACAGGCTGTTTCAGAGAGTAATGAATTAATGCATATTATGTACTTTGAACAATGTCTGTTACTAAAAATTGAGTTCACCTACTTACTTGTTTGATATCTTTCTATGGATCCATTCTGGAAGCCAGTCTTTCTGAGTTAAATTTAATGCTCAAAATGGATTGGTATTATTTTTAGTATTTCTTCTGTTATTAGATATTCCTTTTTGCTTACATGTCTATTTAGTTTTATTATATGTAATGTCATTTCAGGTTCCTATATGATAGTGGACTCTTCAGATCATGACCCTGGAGAAAAAGCCCGACTTCAGCTGCCTACAATGAAGGAGAACGACACTCACTGTATTGATTTCAGTTACCTGTTATATAGCCAGAAGGGGTTGAATCCTGGCACTTTGAACATATTAGTTAGGGTGAATAAAGGACCTCTTGCCAATCCAATTTGGAATGTGACTGGATTCACGGGTAGAGATTGGCTTCGGGCTGAGCTAGCAGTGAGCACCTTTTGGCCCAATGAATATCAGGTAATCATCTGACCTTTCCTGGTTTATGCTTTAATGTCATTGGTTCTCACTGTGTATGTAATACTTAGAGAAAAGCACTAGCTCATTGGAATAAGAGATGATCTCTTTTGCCCTCCTCTAGCCCTATTCTTGAGGAGATGTTGAAATACATTGGCACAAAACCTTCAAAGTAGAGAGAACATTTCCACATACAGAAAAAAACGTAGTTTTAGTGTCAAAATGTGTTGGTTGTTTGGCAGCGAACTACTTATTAACACATACTTCCATGTGTCTGTTCAGGAAGAAAAAGTCTTTTTGATTTGAGTGCACTATTCAAACTGGATTGGTTTGCTGACTGCCTGACAACAACATTTAAAAAAATACATAAAATAGTGTTTCATGAATTATGTCATCTAAGGGGGAGGCGTTTTGAATAATTGTTTACATTTTTGTCAGTTACATGGAGTTTAAAAATAAGCAAACAAAAAAAAGAAAAGTCCACATGTCTTTGTTTTTTTTTTCCACCAGAAATACTTAATTTAATTATGATTAAACCAGGTAACAAATGATATCAATATCTACTTCATGTGTTGTGAGGCAGATTTTATATGATTTAACAAAAAAAGATCATTTACCAGTTTGGAGAGTTGTTCGGTAATCTTCTCCATTAGGTTCAGTAGATTTCCCCTACTTTTTGAAACATTGCCTTATGCCACCTTGTTTTAGTGGTTTTAGTAAACCATTATGACAACCAAAATAAATCCAAAGAGGATTTCTGCCTTTTTAAAAAAAAAAAAAAA